ACACTCCTGTCCATGGGAAGCCAGGGAATCTTGGAACCTGTGCCTTGGGGCTTTGCAGAGCTTTGCTTTGCTGGCAGCCCCATGCTGCTGCTCAGCCCAAGCACAGCAACCCCAGCAGAAATTCCTGTCAGGAATTCCCAGCTCTGCTGACAATTCCAGCCTGCCTGAGGCTGTGCTGCTCCCTTTCCTCGAGGATTTTCCTGCCACTGCCCTGCTGACATTTCCTTCTTCCACTTCACCAAATGCCATCAGATTTGGAAATGTGAGCTTGTCCTGCACTGCACAAACAGCAGCCCAGGGAATGATCCTGGTGGTTTCAGCTCCCTGGAATCCTGATGTGCTTTGCAATGATTCAAAGGAACATTTCTTCCTCTTGAACACGCCAGGTGACGAGCAGATGAAATCTCTCCTGAGCCCTATGAATTACCAGTAGCAAATCTGTGCCTTCTTGTACAGAAAAATCAGATAAAGCATCTACTTTGCAACCTTTCATTTAATCTACAGACTGATACCATATTGCTCCAAGCTTTATATTTAAAAAAAAAAACCCACAAAAGATGGACAGGCTGTGCCAATGGTATTTGACAGCTCTCTGTCCATGAGAACACCCTCCAATAAATTATTTCCAAACAGCAGAGATTTCCCTGGTTAACATTTGCTGTGGGTTCAAATGGCTAATGACAGGCTGGGGTACAGACAGGGACAAAGGCCTCCCATCCCAGTTTAGCACTTGAGAGCCCAAGCCTCTCAAATTGAGCTCATCAGCAGCCTCGTGATTTATTTTATGTTTTATTTTATTTTTTTCTTTTTTTTTCTTTGTATATGTTCTTGTTTTGGTAGGCACTTATCAGCAAATCAATGGAACAAACTGACAGAGAGGAGGCTTAGGTGGGAAATTGGGAAGAAATTCCTCCCTCTGAGGGTGAGGAGGTTGCCCAGAGGAGCCTGTGGTGGTTTTTCTTCATTTCTAAATATTTTATAGCTTTAATTGTTTGCTTGGCTTGGATTAGGTATGGAACAGGTTTGATTTGGGTGTGTAAGCAGCTCAGAGCTGCATCCAGAGCCCAAATTCCAGCCCAGCCCTTCCCCTCACCCCATGGACCCTTCCTCAGTCAGGCTGGGCTCAGGAGAGAATCCAGGGCTCGGGGTTCATTCCTGTTCACTCCTGGTGAGAGATAAAAACCCAGATAAAAACACGGCCCGAGCCCCACAGGCAGTGAGGATCCCACACTCTGCACCTCGGGTACCATCTTTGGGGTTTGCAGTCACTAGATGTAAAAGCAAATTTGTATTTAGATATTTAGAAATAGATCTTCAACTGTAGATCTGTCAAATTAACAAATAAATTTAGGAGTCAAATAAATTCTGCAGTTGATTTTTCTACCACTTGTCTAAAATCAAGTGTTGTGACTGTAATAAAATGTGTCAGTCTTCTACAGTGAGGTCCACTTTGTTCTTTTAGATAAAAATAGTAAATTTTATTATTTCTATTTTTAAACAGTCATTTTTAATATTTCTATTTGAATATTTCTATTCTATTTTGCTACGTGTAGCAGCATTTTCTACAAAGTCAACTCCTACAAACGCTACCCTGAACATCCCCAGCTCACCCACGACTCTTCAGGAGCTGAAATGAGCACAATTATTTGTTTTAGGCAGCACACACATAACAAACCCCTGAACACATCTCCAACCCCTACAAACAGAGACAAGTTTAGTTGTAAAACCTTTCCCAGAGGCTGTTTGATCCCAAGTATGTTCAGCATTGGTGCTGGGAGACATTTTCAGAAGCAAACCAAAGCTCTTCTGGCTGAACTTTTAACAGCAAGATTAAAAACTGGGGGGAAAGTGATTTCACAACAGCAATGGAACTGAAAATTTTATTATTTTCCCCCCAAGTGTTAATAAAAAGCAATGTTGGAGTTACCAGCAGTCCTTGCCCATCTGTGTTGGGATTAATAATTTTCCTGTGAGTTGACTGTGCCCAAAGGCAGCCAGGTTTTATCTTATAAATAAATATATATTTGTGTGCTGTAGGCTGTTGATCAAAGTCCAGGCCTTTCACAGGAGCTTGGTTAAATTCAGATTTATCCCAGATACCCAAGAGACAGCAGAAATTTAAACTCTGAATAGAATTTCACAAAACCCCAAAGCTCTGTGTTGTAAGTCTGGTGTGCACAACCCTGTTTGTTACAGGAAAGACAGAAAAAACACCCAAATTTGATGATTTGATGTAATTCTGTCCTGTACTTTAAGGGTAAAACTTGGCAGACTCCAAAACTCCACTGAACAAGGTTTTTCCTCACTTTGCTGGGCTGTGCTGAGAATTCCAACAAGAATTTTTCCTGAAGGAACAGCTGGGAGCAGTCCTGGCTTAGTCTGGGGTCCAACACTGAGCACATCCCCATGTTCTCCTCAAGTTTGTAATTATTTATTCCATTTTTTATGCCACCTTTTATCAGCTGGATGAAATTCCCCTGAATGCAAACTTGTTCCATCTCCTGCTGGGGGAATCCTCCCTGGCCTGTGCTTGGGGTTCTGTGCAGCCCTAGCAGCAGTCAAAGTTTAATTACAAAATAATTTGATTTTCTGCGTGACTCATGCAATCTAAATAAAGACAAAGCTGGTTGTAAATAATTTCTGTCAGGCTTTATTATGCCTATATATATTCATATTTTTTTCTCTCTCATGAATCAGACTATTAGAATAACATTAGATAAATTATCTGAACCACTGACTCATGCAAAGCAAACTGCTCAGTTCTGTTGTTCCTACAGAAAATGTGGCTTCAGTATTCAGAATTCAGTCTCTTCTTGCCCTTGGATGTGATTTTATTATCACAAAATTATCAGTGCTTCAGCTACACACCATTTCCTATAATTACTGAATAATTAGCCACCACATTTGTATTGTGGAGTGTAAATGGATGCCAGATCTGCTCTGCAAAATGGGGATTAATAAAAAGTTCCACTGGAGATCATCCTGTGGCAAACAGGATCCTGTGACCAGAGATCCAGGATCACAAACAAGCCCTGAAAATATCTCAAGTGCAGGAATTGAATCCCACCGCGTTTTACCAAGCTTTAAAAACCTGGGATCTCCTTGACAGCAGGCACCAAAATGAGCTGAATTTCACCTGTATTTCACTGCTTTAATTGCTGCAGCCAGGTAAAAAACCAGCCATGGGTGACTCTGTCACTTGCAAAACAGAACTTGTATTGAAATTGTATTTTAGATAAAAGCTGGACAGGTGATTCCATCTGGAAGGGATCCTCAGCCCAGCACTCTGAAAGCCCTGAGATTAAAGAACAGCACTTTGTGACACATTTCATCCTCCAGGTGCCTCTCAAACGTCACCCCCAACTCTGGACACTCTGACCTGGATATTCCAATATTTATATTTATATTTATATTTATATTTATATTTATATTTATATTTATATTTATATTTATGATTCACAAGATGTTTGGGGTGAACAGAGCACCAGGGGTTGGTTCATGGGCCTCATGAACAGTTCTCTTGCTCAGGTAAAGGAAACATTATTGGTGAGAGCAGATTCCAATCTACCAAAAATAAAAAGTCCTCAGAACATGGGGTGCTGAACAGACTAAGTGCCAGCTCAAAAACAATTGCAGATCTTCATGACAGAAAGGTTATTAAAAGGCAAAACCAGGATGCTGTCAAACACTTCCAAGCAGCTGATGCACCATCTGCAAAGTCACTTCTGCAATGACAACTCCAGAATAAAAAAAGTGTTTCCTGCACGTTCTGCTTTACACATATAAAAATACCAAATGATGGCTTGGCACAGGAGCTCTGCAAACGACAGAAATTCAGAGGCTGAGCTGAAAAATTTGGAGGTGTAATGACTTGCAAACACAGTTGGCCAGAGCACACAAGGAAATTGGACAGCCCAGGGGCAAAAACGCCCTCAGATTTTTGTAGCAAGGACTAAGCCAGCAGGAAAAATGCATCACACACATAAAACCCTGAAGGGAGAGAAAATGAGGGGAAAATCAGATCTGTGGCACTGAGCAATCTTCCCTGAACACCAGCTCTGTATTTATGGCCAATCCCAATTTTAGGATCAAAGAGCAGCAAGCTCTCCACACCCTGCCATGGCAGGAGGGCTGGAAATAAATCACCTTTAAGGTCCCTTCCAACCCAAACCATTCCAAAACCCATTTTTTTTCCAGCACAACGAAGCCCTGTCCATAGTGTGGAAATGACAATCCTTTGAAATCCCTGCAGAGCAGTGAAACGCTCAGCACAGCAGGGACTTTGGAACTGTCACCATCCACTGAAAGCCCCCAGGGTCCCTGCAGCCAAAGCTTCCTCTCTGCAAGCAGCACTGCCTGCCTGCCATGGGCTTCCCAAAATTGGGATTCCCAGGGCTTTGATGCCATCTGCTGGGTGCTCCTCGGTATGGATCCAACTCCAGCAGCGTTCACCTAGAAAAAACACCCCTCTTCTGTATTTTCTTTGGTTATAAAGACAAATTAAGCCAATTAGGACATGTAAAAATTACATTCAGGTCCTCCTAGTGATGGAGGCACAGGTTAGGGATTTATGCTGACACTGTAACAAAACCTATGAACAACTGTTGACATCAGTTTGCTACATAAATATGGATTTAGGAACTGTTCAGGAAACTTCAAAATTAAGACTCACCACTGTGACTTGCAGCATTTTTTGGGATTCCCAAATACCAAAGCAATAAATGAGTGAATATGGGGGCTCCAAAAGCTTTTCTTTACTACCAAAGTAAGCTTTAAAGAGCCTTTGTTTGTCCTTTGGCAAATTCCTGACACATGAGCTAAGGGTGAAACACAGAGGATGAATTTAGGAACTCCAGGAGGGCTCTTAAAAACACCTTAACATCATCACTCCCTCTTCACGTCCCCTGTAACACACAGCTTTTATCCAACAGCCACTCCAAAATTCCCACTTTCCATTTGTTTTAAACCTTTTCATAAGTGGAAAACAAGACTCAGGAAACTCCAATACATGCCTGGCTTTATTGCCTTAACAAACAATGCAAATATTCCAATCTGAAGTCTGTTGTTTTCCTGAATAAATAAATAACTGCAATAACCAAAATAAGGAAGTTCTCATTAAATATACAGAACTTTACAGGAAAGTAAAAAAAAAATAAACCAACAAAAAGAATGGGACAGATTTTCTTTTCTCAAATGTAATTGCAGCACTGTTATCAAAACATTTAATAACCTAAGGAAAAGTTGGGTGTTGTGTTTAGAAAAGCTTTAACTGTCCTCAGCCTCCAGATTTATGTTATTTCCAAACTTTGCATAGAGCTGAACTTTGAGGTCAGACAACACCCCCTGGATCGACTCCACTCGGGATTCCAATGCTTCGATTTCCTCTTGTAAACTTCTCTGAAAAAGAAAACAGAAAATAAAATCAACCAATTCTGTACAACAAACTGAGCCAGGTTTGTCAGCAACACAGAACCAACAAAGAGGTGCCTCTTTTCCAATTTATTCCCAAGTCTGGCTGCAGGATTTATGGCTGGAGTGACTCTGGAGTGACACAAATCCTAAATGCAACATCAATTTTAGACTGAAAGCTCCAAAGAAGGCAGAGATCATCCCCTGCCAGTGCCCAGCACACACAGCAGCCCAGCAGCTCCAGACAAACCTTTGCCTCCTCCAGCATCTCCTGTGTCTCCTCCAGGGAATGACTGATGAACACATCCCCAATCTGGTAGGGAATCAGGTGGGAATCAGCATCATCCAGCAGCATGATGTCATCACAGGCATCCTCCAGATTCTGAAGCTGTTTCTGTTTGCCAAGACACAGAAAGAGGCTCCCTTTGTTAAACATTTCATTGGACACATGGCCACAGATAGAGAAGGAGCTCAGGCTGGATTTTGGGGACAAAATCCCACCCACCACCAGGGTATCTTATGGAACAGTTCCAGAGCTGGAATTTAGCATCAGTATTAAATTCAAGAGAACTCTACCACTAGAAATTCCTAGTTAATAATTATTATCTCTCATTAACAGAATAATTACCTGCCTAGGCAGAGAAATACAGCAGATTTAAACAGCACTAATATCTGATCTACTTTCACCATTCTCTACTTCCAAAGTATCAGAAACCTCATATCAGAACCCAAGCATTACCTAAACTCACGGTAACTCACTGCTGCTAATTTTCTGTGTTCCAGCTGAAAATTAATTCAGGCCAACAAAAAGTTCATGAGATCTGAAGCAAGTATACCTTTTTCACTTCTATTTCTTCTTTCAGCTCTGTGATCCTGCTGGTATTTCTTGCAAACTTGTTAATTTTCTGCTGATCTTCAAAAGTGACATTGACATCTTCCGCAGCCTGTGAGGAGGAGAGGCCAAAATGATGATTTCAGTTCTTTCATTAACTTGAGTCTCGCTGCAAGGCTACAAAGTGTCTGGAAAATAGTCTGACAGCCACCACATTCTGCTGATGCAACCGATTCTCAAAATGCCTCCTCCTCAAGGACATCAGAAATACCCACATTTAGCTGGGTAACATCCAATTAAAACACTGGCCAGCCACGGCATCCTAAAGCCAAAGGATGAATTGGACACCTTGCTCCGAGCTCTCTCTGGAGAGGGACTATGAACAACAGCAGTTAGGGAATGAAGCAGAATGGCTTCAAGCTGGCAGAGAGGAGGTTTAGGTGGGATATCGGGTAGGAATTCCTCCCTGGGAGAGTGGGCAGGGGCTGGGGTGGAATTCCCAGATCGGCTGTGGCAGCTCCTGGATCCCTGGCAGTGCCCAAGGCCAGGCTGGATGGGTTTGCAGCACCAGGGACAGTGAGAGCCGTCCCTGCCAGGGCAGGGGGTGGAATGATGGAATGAGACAAATTTTAAGCTCCATTCCAACCCAAGCCATGGTAATGATTACATAACTAATCGCTCTATCAGCAAATACATTTTTCCTCACATCCACCCTGACCCTGCTCTCGTTTAGAACGACAGAGACTCCTGTGGAAACTCCGCAACGCCACCAAGCCCGCAGGACCAGCGCTGTGCCAGAGCCCGGTGCCACAGACCGGTACCGGAGCCCGGTGCCACAGCCCCGTACCGGAGCCCTCAGCTCCGAGCAGCGGCCGCGCCGTTCTGGGCAGG